CGTTCCGTAAGCGCAAGAACGTTGTGCAAGACACGAACTTCGAGGGCCCAAAGCACCCAGAATGCCAGTCCACGCATCGAGTTCAAGTCTGCCTTTCTGGCGCTTGCACGTGGTTGCAGCTGGTCGTTTTCAAACTGAGTGGGTTGCGCAAAACTGTGTTATTCTGAGAGCGAAACCCCTCTATTTTTGCACACGCCCTTTGGAGCTGTTGGTTGCGCCGTAATAATAGCTGCCGTCGCAAAGTCGGTATAAGGCTGTAGAAAGCGCAGACAAATGAACTGAAGACAGTTGAAATTGTCAGAAGCAGTTACAGCAGATCTCTGACCTTGCGCATGGGACGCGACGGCTTTCTGCACTCGAAATGCGTGCTGTCCCAAGATGGCACCGCCCGATGGTTCGTCAAGCGGGTGGTCCCGTAGACGTGGCGAGGGCTGCAGATTGGATTGGGCTATCGGTGGTGGTTCGTGGATATGACGTAACGCGTATATGCTAGTATAGCTGCTTGTATAGCTTCTAACTCGTACCGTGCACCGCTATGGAACACATTTGGTTCCAAGCCCTTCTTGGCGATGCGATCGCGCTTCAACGAGCTTCCTCGTTGAAGTTGAGTGTCCGGATAATCGTTATCCGGATAGATTGCACTTGTGCAAGACAGCGACCAGTCTCTGATTTGACATGCCGCTGCCCATTGTCGAGCACCGGAACCCGTTCGCGTCCATCGAAGCGGACCTGCGCGCCGACGATGCGTCGTACGCGCCGCCATCGCCCGTGGACTTTGACGCGGACCTTGCGTCCTTCAAGCGAAGCGACGTGGCGTACGGCCACGTGACCAAAGACCGCCTCTTTACGCTCGACCCGGCCATCACGATGATCAACCACGGCAGCTGCGGCGCCTGCGCGACACCGGTGCTAGCCGTGCGCAGCGCGTACCTTGCACTCCAAGAGCGAGAGCCCCTCAAGTTTTTCGAGGACCTCGGGCCACGCCTCGTGCGCGTCATCCGGGTCCTCGCCGCGCACCTTGAGGTGCCGCCAATGCACGTGCACTTGGTGCCCAACGCGTCGTCCGGCACGACGAGCGTCTTGCGCTCACTGCCGCTGACGCCGACCTCGTCGATTGTGTCGTTCGACCTCGGCTACGGCGCCGTGACGCTGCAGATCGCCCAAGTGTGTGCCGCCTCGGGTGCCCGCAGCGTTGTCGTGCCCACGTCGCGGCCCTACACACACGCGCGCATCCTCGACGCCTTCCGCAGCACGCTCGACGCGACGCCGTCGGCAACTGCTGTCGTCGTCGATCACATTACGAGCAGCACCGGCATCATCCTCCCGATCGAGGTACCTTGTTGGCTGCCATTCGCACTGCTCACAGAAGCCACGCGTAGGAGATTCTGGCCATTTGCCGCGCGCGCAACATCCTCACCATCGTCGACGGCGCGCACGCGATCGGCCAAGTGCCCATCGACCTAACGGCGCTGCAGCCCGACTTTTACATTTCCAATTTGCACAAGTGGATGCTCGCGCCCAAGTCGGTCGCGTTCCTCTACATCCGCGACGTCCAGCGCCAAGGGGCCCTGCGCGTCCAGCCGTCGGTCGTGAGCCACGGGTACGGCGGCGGGTACGGCGCCGAGTTTGGCTACCTCGGCACACTCGACTACTCGGCGTGGCTTGCAGTGCCCGCGTCGCTGGCCTTTCACGCCGCAATGGGCGGCGATGCCCTCATGCAGCGCAACCACGAGCTCTGCGTGAGCGCCGCCAAGACCGTCGCCGCCGCGTGGGAGACGTCTCTGCTTGTTGACGATACGCAGCTCGTCGGGTCGTTCTGCGTCGTCGTGCTGCCATCGCGCCTCTTTGCGTTTCCGCTGATTGCGGAGAACTCGACGCTGCTCCGCCACGCGCTGCTGACGCTGCACTTGCTCCTCCGACGCGATTATCAGATCGAAGCCATGTGCATGCTCTGCGACCCGACGACCCCCGGCATTCGCATTGCTGCGCAAATGTACAACCAAGCGTCCGACTACGACAAGCTCTCGGCCGCGGTTCTCGACCTCATTGCCCGCAGTGACGTGACGTACTAGCAGCTTGGATGTCTACTAACTACGTACTGAGATGAGTGTTGTTATCAAGATGGTGAAGAGCTAAGCATGGCGTCGATCCTGTCGGACGGTCCGTCGTTGGCGCGAGTGAAAAGATATAGAAAATACATTCGTTCGAGGTCCTAACACTAGGCCTTGAAGACGGCGAGCGTCTTGCGCAGCGCGTCGGCAAGGCTGTCGACAATGTGCGGCTTGGCTTCGTGGCACCCGATCGTGAGCGTCGTCGCCTCGGACGGCGCGTAGAACCGCGTGCCCTTCGAATGCCGCATGCCCTTCCCGGCCGCGTGCGTGAGCGCCGAGACCCACATCTCGACGTCCTCGGGCTTCTCGGCGACCATGTGCACGTGCAGATCCATGCGCTGGCCGACGACGGGCCCATCGACCGAGCAAAACTGGAGCGCTTCGCCAGGCAACAGCCCGTTGAGCGTCCACGTGAGGGGCGTCGCGCCCTTCACGAGCGCCATGCGGCCCAAGGGCACAATGTAGCGCAGAACGCGGGGCGAGTGGGGCGTAAAGAGGTAGACGCAATTGCGGCAGAGCACAACCCACCGCCGGCGCTTGCTGCCCGTGCCAAAGCCGACGCGGAGGTTCCCCGAGAACGACGTGTCGGACGGATAGACCTCTTGGACATCGGCCATCTCGGACCGAAAGCTGTGGCGCATCACCGACGCAAACGTCTTCATCGCATCGATCGCCGCTGGCGTCTCGTGCCGCCACTCGGGGCGACTGAGCGGGCCTGTGAAGAGACTGTTGACGCCGACGCGGAGGTGCAAGCGGATCGCGTCGCCCTTCTCGACGTCGATGCTGTGGATGTACTGCAGCGGTGCCGACCACTCGAGGGACGCGTCAGCGTACGACGCCTCGGGGGCCCACTGCACGTACAAGACGCGCGTGTCCGTGATGATGACCCAGTGCACCTGCGTGACCTTGAGCTTGGCGTAGACCGACGGCGTTGGCGGGAGGTTCCGAAATGACGGCGACGGCGAGTACACAAAGGTCTTGCCCACGTCTTCGTCGTCGTCGTTGTCCGAGTCGGACGCATTGCGCTGCGTCGCGAGCACGTCCGCGCTCTCAAACGTGATCGTGACGGGCCGCGCCGCGCCCTTGATCATGTCGATGGTTTCTCGAAAGCCAATGCGGCGGACGTCGACGTCGCCAATCATGACGAGGATGTCGCCGGGCTGCAGCAGCTTTTGGGTTACGCTGCGCGTCGTCGTCGTCGCTGATTGGACGCTCGACTTGTCGAGACACGTCTTGATGATGACGCACTCGTTGTAAAAGTCGGTCTCGAGCTCGAGGCCGAGTGCCTTCTTTTGGAAGACAACCGCGTACGTCGCGCGGGCGCCGCCTTCGTCGACGTCGGTCGCGCTCTCAAAGCGCTCCATGCGAAGGACGTGGCGGTGCAATGGCAAAAACGGCGGCGTCTGCTGCGCCAACTTGGCCTTGCGAGCGAGCTGGTCCGCGGCCACGTGCTGCTCGACGCGTGCGTGGTAGATGATCTTCTCGTTCGTGCCCGTCTTGGACACGAGGAGGTGCGCGGCCACGTCCTCTTCCTTGTAGCAGCGCAATTCGTTGTAGCGGCCAAAGACGCGCGGGAGGCGCACGCGGAGCCCTTGGCGGCCATACGCGAGCGACCGGTTGCGAATGCCTTGGGTCGCGCGCGACGCAAAGTCAAAGACGCCCGCAACAGGCTTCATCGGGAGACCGAGAATACCGGTGACCGTGCCCTTCAAGAAGCCAACCGCACCGTCCGACTGCGCGCCGCGGATCGGGTTGAGCACAACGCCTGTGACGCCCTCGACCATACCTAGTCGTACATCTTAGAGACGCCATTTGGGACGAGAGGAGTGCATACCGAGCGTGAGCTCCCGCGAACCCTGAATCAAACCTTCCTTGAATCCGCGGACGTGGCGGCGGCGGGCCTTGGCCCGGGCTTGCTGGTAGTGGTCGTCAAAGCTCATGGTCGCGAGGCCCTGACCAAAGGTGCCCGTGACCTTGGACGTCGCGTCGGACGTGCCATCAATAAAATTGGTGACAAACGACGTGGCGCCCTTGGCCAGACCTTTGCCAAAGCCAACGCCCGTGCCTGTGATGCCGGTGCCGGTGCGAGCGCCTTGGATGGGCTCGACAATCAGATCGCGCACCTACAGCAGCTCGTCAATGCCGTCCAGGTCGATGCATGACATGTACCGCCGTGCCAAGGTGGTCGAGCAAGCCCGCGGGGTTGCCCAAAAAGTCGAACGACCCGAGAACCTTGTGCACTTGCTTCCAGAGCTGTCGCGTGTAGTACTTGGTCACGCGCCGCGTCACTTCTCCGCTCGTGCCGAACGCGTGCTCGACGATGAGTGCATTGAGGCGAATCGGCGCATTGTCCAAGTCGGGTACGTGCATGCTCAAGCTTGGGATCCACGCCGCGACCGCTTCTTGCATGTGGCCGCCGTCGTCTACGCCGTTGTATGAGCTGCCATTCAAACAGACTGCATGTACCGTCGGACGCGCCGTGTTCGTAGCTCAGTTCGTTGCGCGTCGTGCTGATCGAGTTTTGGAGCATGCGCGAGCCCGAAATCACGTCGCTTCGGAACGTCAAGTCGAGCTCGACGGGGTGGATGTGCAGAAGCGCAAAGTACACCTTGCGCTCAAGCGACGTCGACGTCGTTGCGCTCTCGAGCAAGCTCAAGTTGTTGAGCGGGTCGAGTTCCGAGCTCTCGATGCACGCCTTAAAGTCGACTGCGACCTGCCGCGCGCTCAACGTCGGCGCCACGTCCATGGTCGAGTGGTTGAGAAACTTTTGCCCCGCGGCCCCTTGCTGCTGGTAAATCACCTACAAGACAGGACAGTGATAGGCGAAGCGGGTACGTTCTGCGTACCTGCATGAGGAAGCTGCGGAGCACCGAGACGAGCTCTTCGTCGAGCTGCACCATCATCGGCAGCAAGTGGAACGAACAGTACTCAAAGTAGTCGGTCGAGCCTTGCTCGTTGGACCAGCCGCAGCAAAAGTGGAATGCAACAGCCGCCGACGGGTGCTCCGCGCGGCAGTCGTCGCAGTGGAACGACGCCGGCGCGTCATCGGACGCCGCCACCTCTTTCGGGCACAGCATCGTCGTAAACGTTGCATCTGGCACTTGGTTGTCGGCCTGAATGTCGCGGACCGTGATCGCAAACTGCATTTTGGTCTCGTGGCGCAGGAACGAGCACGTGAGGCCCTGGAGACTCACGTAGAGCACCTCCATGGGCGTCGCGTTCACGCACGAGAGGCCGACGCTGTGGAGCGTACACTGCACCGTCACGTGCTGGAAGAGCGAGACACTTCTCGGCGCTATCGGTGCCATCGACGACGAGCTCTCGTCAAGCGCGCGCAGACTCGAGGCATCGCGGGCCCCGGCGTCATCGTCCTCTTCGCCGCCTTCGGTGAGCTCGAGCACTTTGGTCGGCCCGTCGGCACGGACCCGCGCGTGCACGTACGTCTTGGTGGTCGCGCCGGCCTTCTCGTTATCCCGCGGCCGGGCTTTCTCGTGGCGTTGGCGGGACGCTTCGTGGACAAAGTCCATTGCGAGGACGATCGCTTGCCGGAGCGCGACGCACCACAACCGCGTTTCCTCGTGCGATTCGGTCCGGAGCACATACGACTTGCTCGGTGTCAAGAGTGTAAACGTCGTGCTGGGCGTCGGCGGCGGCGTCGGAATCGAGACGCGGTAGAGTACATCGCTGTCTTCAAACACAATGTTGTCGACGTCCATGTCGGGCGGCGGGTTCCACACCATGAGCATCCCGCACTGCAGCAGGTGCTGTGCGGTCGCGCCTGCGTGGTTGCGCGACGGCGCGAGGTCCTCGTCGAGAATGAGCTGGACAATGTCTCTTCCGGCCGCTAAAAAGAGCTGCGTCGGCGTCAAGTCGGTCGCAGCGAGCGCTTTGAGCCATTCGGTGGCCTTGGCTTCGAGCCACAATGTGCGCTTGATGAGCGATGCGAGCCACACGGCAAACTCGACCGACTGCATTTTGAGTGCAATGTTCAAGAACGGATCCGTCGACGACTTGTCCTCGCCAAAGAGCGTGTCCGAGATCGACTTGGAGACCGACCGGAGCGGGTTCATCGACGAAGTGGACGGCTTGCGCGTCGGTTTGGCCCAGCCCTTGACGGCGATCGACGACCCGAGACCGAGATCGATGACACCCCGGAGCGCGTGGTCCGTGTCGGTCAAAAAGTAGTAGACCATGTGCTCGTGCACGCGAAAGTAGCGCTTGCTCCAGTTGAACGCATTGTCTTTCTTGAGGAGGAGGCCCTCGCGCGCGCAGCCGCCGTTGAAGAGCGACGCCGGCAGCGACCGCGTCAGCTGGAGCCGCTTGTGCTTTTGCATCGCGTCCAAGTTGTACTCTTTCGTGTCAACAATTGCATTCGACGCGTCGACGGACGAGAGCGACGACGACACTTGCATAAACCGCACTTCCAGGAACCGCTCGAGCACGTGCGTCTGCGCTCCGTCGGCCGAGACAGACAAGCTGCCTTCGTGGCTGTCCCACGAGTACGGCACCGAGCTCCGCGGACCGACCTCGTCCCAGATGTCGTCCGGCCAGTGCGACTGGTGAAAGTGGAGCCGGAACGACGTAAAGTTGTCGATCCGGTACGGCGGCCAGCGCTTGCTCTCGTCGCAAAAGACGCAGACGATCGACCCACCGACGAGCTCGAGCTGCGCTTGCAAAATGTAGATCGCGTGCGGGTCGTCCTTGCCGCGGAGCTTGAGGTACGTCGTGCCGAGCGAGTGGAGCGCAAAGGGCCCAGACCACTCCATCTCGCTCGAGGCAAACGTCACCTCGAGGCTCTTCTTGGGCTCGTCGGCCTTGTCCCAGTGGTACGCCTGCAGCGACTGCAACGGCAGCGTCGAGACCACGCTGCATTTGTGCTGGCGAAACCAGAGCGGGAACGACGTGCGGTTGATGAGCACATAGCGCGGAACGAGGGTTGTCACAATCGTGTCGGCAAACACACCGCTGCCGTACGCGCTCCACAGCGCGAGCTCGTACTGCTTGACTGCTCCAACCGCGCTGCTATCGACGAGCGTGATTTGTTGGGCGACGCCCGAGTTGCCCATTGCGTTTCGATGGATGCGGACGGGCTCGGACCAGCTGCAGCGGCCCGTGCGCACGCGGAGAACGTCCCAGTGGCTGCTCACGCTGCTCGAGCGCGACCCAAAGTTGATGACTTCGCCCCATTCGACCGGACGCGACTGCGCTGGAAACGACTGCTGCCGGTTCAAGACGAGCGCGCGCGGCGTGCTGTGGTGGACGCTGGCCGTGCTGCTTTCGTCGTAGAGCCGCAGCGTGTTCATCGCAATGCGGTGGCAGAGGTGCAAACCGTGCTTGCGCCCAAGGTTGCCCAATGGCGCCTCCATGTCGGTGAGGATGTGGCCGTACCACCGGTCGCCTTCCGGTCGACCTGCACTGCGCAGCGAGACGAAGCGCGGCAAGACGAGCTCAAAAAACACATAGTCCGACAGTACGATCGTCGAGCCGGCGCTGAGCCCGCCGACACACAGCACTTGTTGAATCACGTCGCTCAGCGTCGTCGACGGCAGCACCGAGAGCTCTACCGACGTGAACCGGTTCGTGGAGAGGTACACCGTGAGCTCAAACGGCGCGTCCGATAGCGTGGGGCGAAGCAGCGGTACGAGTGGCAACGACGACGACGAGGCCATTGTACCCCGGGGCGTCGTTGCGATCGTGCCCCACGACGGCTGGTCTTCGGACGGCATCTGGTGCATGGTGGCGACCGAGATCGAGAGCTTGATGCGCCCAACGACACCGGTCGTCGTTGCGCGGCGCGACACCTTGCGCTTGGTGAGGTCGTGCCACTCGAAACCAGCGTAAAACTCGCGCCGACTCAGGACGTCCAGCAGCGGAATGGTCACTACATGACACGACACAATAAGACACTAAGACAAATGCACGGAGCATACAAATGCCGAGGTTCGTGTCGAGCCATGTTGAGCGCACTTCAATGACGACGCTGGCCGATGGCAGCTGGTAGTGCAGCACGTCCTTGGGAAAGTCGAGGTACAGCGTGTTGTTGTGTTCGTGGCCAAAGATGGGCGCAAGGCCGCCGCTCACAACCGGCCGCGTCCGCGCAGTGCAAAACAAGCTCTCGAGCAAGCTGTTGGTCTTGGCATCCTGCTTGGGGATGAGGAGCGACGCCTTCACGTACGGGCTCTGGTGTCCCCAGTACTTGTGCGAATTGAAGAGATCTTTCGCCGACTCGACGACCACGTACAAGCCCACGGGCACGATCAGCGCCGGTTTCTCAAACAGCCGGAGCTCGTCGTCCCTTGCCTGCTGGTGCACCGGCGACACAAAGGCGTTGGGGCTCACGAGGTTGCGCCGCTTGGACGCCGACGCGCGCGGGAGGAAGCGCGCTGCCGCCGACATGCCAGGCCGCGCGTGGAGGTACGTTGTTACCGCCTCAAGCGTCTTGGGGTTGCGACTCAGCGCGTCGCAGTACTCGAGCGGCAGACCCGTGTGATTCACAACCCAAAGGCCGCTGTACACGACGATATCGCGGTCCTTACGCTTGAGTCGCAGCTGCAGCTCCGGCACGCGTCCTACAAACGTCGACAACATGTATCAATGTATCAAGCGCGTACCTTGCGTGTCCTTGTAAGCACTGTTGTCGGGGAAGACGCGACCTTTGAGCGCAATGCTGTCGATCGTCTCCTTGAACGGAATCGCGGTTTTGCTCGCGACGGCGTTGAACGGCTCGCTCCAATTGTAATTTTCGATCCGGAACGACACAAACACGTCCTCGGCGCAGTTGACCTGGAAGAGCGGGAGCGTGTCGCCCACCGGTAGAATGCCTTCTGCCACCTACGCCAACAACGTGTCAAGTTGTACGACTTTTGCAAACTACGTACGAGCTGGAGGCTCTGGGCCAAGACGCGGTACGCCACTGGCGACGCGAGCCGGTTGTGCAGCGTCAAGTACGGCTTGAGCGTCAAAATATGCGCGAAAATCGGGTCACCGCCGCTCTGGCCTTGCTTGGCGTGCTTGGCTTCTTCGAGGACGTCCACTGCCGCGGTGTTGTTCTTGGGCCCGGGCGTCGTCGGCGCCTCTTCAAAGATGGTCGACGTATCGTCATCGACCACCGTGGCTTCGTCGTCGTGCAAGCTGCTCGCGGTCGAGAGCCGGCGGTGGGTCACTTTGCTGCTGCCGCTGCTGCTGCCGACCGATGTGTTGAGCAGAACAAACGCATCGACGTCGTAGACGCACTGCCACGCGGGGAGATCGCGCACGAGGAAGCCCGGGAGCAACTGCTTCTCGAGCTCGCGCTGCTTGACGCCGTGGTCTTGGCGAAATCTGCACACGCACGTGCCGGCCTTGACAAAGCGCCTTTTGGCCGACGTGAAACTCAAGTTGGCGCTCTTGATGTCGTCCTCAAACACGCTAAACGACGACGCGAGCGGCGCGTAATCGGCGTCCGTCGACGGCCGCAAGCTCATGCGCGCGTCCGGGTGAATGAGGTGCAGCGGCACGTACGACGTTGCGTCGCGGTCGACGACCCACTCGTGCACGTGGCCCGGCGGCGAAAAGCCCCAGAGAAGCAGCGGCATTGCTGTCTCGTTGCGCAAAAGCACTTGCGAGTGCAAGTGAATGAGCTTGCTCCCGTCTTCCTGAAGACTCACTTCTGCCACAATCACGGGCGGGTCGAGCACGTCATCTTCAAAGTCGTCGGTGCGCTTCATGCAGATCGCTACGTTGCCGACCACGTCGACGGCGACCGGGTGCACACTGGCCCACTTGGTGTTGGTGACCCACACATACCTACTCGCCTTTATGAGTATCCAGTTGTATCAACTTGATATACAGCGAGTGGCTGGCCGTGAGGTTCGACTTGTGGAAGATGAGCGAGTCGACTTCGGACGCCTTGTCAAAGGTCCGAAGATGCGTGCTCTTGTCGCGGCAGTCGATCGGGACGACCTCTTGGTGCGAGACTGTCTTCTGAATGAACGACTGGCCGTGCGCAAAGCTAAACTTGATGTCGCTCCCGAGGCTGTTTTGGAGCCAGAAGGGCGTCGTGACCTTCTCGCCCGTCGTGACCGCGTCCATCGTGTGCAGCGCTTCCATCGACAAGAGCGGCGCCATCGCCGGCGTCATGTTGACGTTGAGCGTAAACGGCAAGTTGACTTTGACGTCCATCGTCTCGGCCATCGCGCTGATGCTCTGGACTTCGAACGGCTCGATGAGCGGCTCCCAGCGGTAAATGCTGTTGTTAAAGTAGTTGCAGTGCAGAATTCCACCGACGCTCATCGACGCGCCGTCGTCAAGGAGTGCTTCGTACTGGCACTCGATCTCTGACATGACGAGGTCTGCGATCGGCACTCCGAGGCTGTTGTTGACCAGCACGACGCGCATCGCGCCAATGTCGGCGAGCAGCCGGTCGTTGAGGAGCCGCGGCGGCACGTCGAGATACGCCAACACCGGGCCACAGTGCGCCGTGGCCACCGACGTCGTCGCGTACGTGTGGAAGATGTTGCCAAGGAGCGTAAAGTCCTGAATCGAGAGCCGCGCTTCGACGGGCTGCACGACCGCTGCGCTCTTGTCGGCGTGGAGCGAGATCGCGTTGCGCTGCGTCGCGTCCAAATCGGGCTTGTTCGTCGGCGCCATGTACTGCATGAGGTGCATCATCTGCAGCGTGAACGGGTTCATGAGCGGAAAGTCGACGTCAATATGCAAATCGGGCAGCGACGAAAAGTAAAACCCGCGCTGCTCGACCGTCAGATCCATCTTGGTCGTGCTTGTCTGCGCGTCTACGTCTTGCGTCATCGTGTACTCGAAAAGGACTTCGGCCATGAGCACAAGGGTTCTACCACCCGATGAGATCCTCGTCGTTTGGTAATTGTATAGACGTACCGTGTCGTGGGCACGGCAAGGTCCTCCAAGAGGTAAAAGCAGCTCTGCTTCTCAAAGACCACGTGCACTTCCATGAGCTTCCACTCAAAGAGCGGCGGCGCGACAAAGCCGAGCTCACTCGAAGGCGTCTCGGCCCAGAATGGCCACGAGAAGAAGTTGCTGAGCATAGCGAGCGACGACGGCACGACGAGGACGTGCGACCGACAGACGTGGATCGTGTACACGCCGTCGGTCCAATTCGTCTGCGCGTGGATCGACACTTGCGGCTCGGACGCCTCGGCAAACGCTTGCATCGGCCGCACGACCTCTTGGCCCGCGTCGTCGACGATTGAGAGCGCCTCGGTGCCGACGTGGATGTCCATAACGTCGCTCGTGCGCATCGTCACGAGCATCCGGAGCTCTTCAAAGCGCAGCGTTGACGACATCTCGGGACCTTGCAGTGCTTTCGCCAGCGTCAACGAGGCGTCGACGACCCGAACAGGCACGCGCAGCCACTCGACGTCGCAGCCGTCAGCGTCAACGTGGAAGCCGCCGCAGGTGGCGCAGAGCGGCCACGTGTCTTCGTTGACGACGCTGTTGGCTTCCTTGACGTTCTCCTTGATGAGGCCAATGAGCGCCGCGTACTGCATCTCGGAAAGGCGCAGACTCCACTCGTTCAGAAGCACGCTGACGACCAGGATCGGGTAGTTGAAAAGACGTTCATGGACGCGCTTGAATTGGTCCTACCCCGTTTGGGTCGAGCCAGCGCTTCGAGCGACGAAGGATCGTACCTTGTAGTCGACCGTGAGCGAGCAAATGGCGTGCTCAAACATACTGCCGTGCGCCGAAACACCGCTGAGACCAATGAGCTCGATCGCCAGCCACGGTAAATGCGACGTCGGCGCGTCTTCCGTGGCGTCGTGAAAGGCCGCGTCTTCGGCGCCAAAGAGCGACCCCGCAGCGTACTGCGGCATGCTCGACACCGACTCTTCAATCGCTTCGATCGAGTGGCTTCGGTACCGGCCATTGCGTATGCGCTCGTGCCCCGCTTCCTCCTACAATCTCATGAGTCGGCGGGATTTCGACGGTGAGGGCAGAATACGTCGACGCTCCGCGTGGCTTCGATCTCCGACTCGAGAAATGCAAGGTGCGTCTGAAGGGACGCGAGGTTCTCTTCGACGGCCTCGAACTTCGCACTGAGAATCTCGCAAGCTTGGTTAGCTTGGGACACGATCACGACCGACTCGGCGTCGAGCCCGCCCTGGTGCATGTAGTGGTGCTTTTGCCGCAGCGCTGTCTTGTGGTCCGCGAGAAGTTGGCCGCGGCTCACGAGCAGCTGCGCGCGCTGGCTCTTGACGAGGCGTCGGAGATTTCGGAGCTCTCGACGCCGCAGCTCTTGGAGGCGCGACGCCGACGACGCACCGCGTGGCGCCACGTCCATCGCGCCAGGTCCGTCTTCTTCGTCGACAAAGAGCCCTGTTTGCACAAAGTTGGAGGGCGACCCGGCCGCGTGCACGGTCGTGAGCGATCCGTTGGCGCTCTTGAGCCAGATCACGTCTTGTGAGAACGAGTTTTTCGGGAGCGCAAATTGCAGGTCGTGCGCGACCATCTCGAGGCGAAACTCAGTGTTGACTTCGGGGGCCACCGGGACAAAGCCGGTATCGTCGTCTTCGTCGAGCTCGTCGCCGTGCCACAGATACACGGCGCGGCGCTGCTCCAGACTCAATGGCGCCCAGAGCAGCTTGGGCAAGACGACGTCGCGCAAGTAGTGGCTAAACTGCTTGTAGACACGGTGCAGATACCAAATCGCGACCGCGTCCAAGCGCAGCTGGAGAACCGTCCACATTTTGCCGCGTGTCTCGTCGTCGTGGGTCGCAAAGAACCGAAAGTCCACGTGCTGTGGCGCGTCACCGTCAGCGCCAATAACGTCGCGGTGCCGCATAGTGTCGGGCGTAGGCAGCAGAGAGTGGGTTTGGTCCGTCAACACGAGCTGCTTGAGCGTACCGCGCACGTCAGTCGTCACGTCGCAGTACGGCTCGTAGCCAAAGCTGCTCCACGCTGCGTGCGAAGCGGTGATCGTCCCGAGCAGCGATGACGTCGACCCGTCACAGCGCACGCAGCCGTCGTGCGTGCCATCGTTTGCATGGAACAAGTCGACGCGGAGGCCGTGCTCGAGCCACACGTGGACCTGCCACGTGTTGTGGATCGAGTCCCGCGGCGTCCATACCGCTGGGAGCGTCGGCATCGGCGAGTGCGGTGCGCCGTGGCCCGCCGCAAGTGACGCGTGGAGCTCGCCCATGGCAAGCCACTCGGTGAGGTGGCTCAGAAACGGAAGGTACAGCGCCGCTTCGACGTGGCGTGTTTGCAAATGCAACAGGCTGAGCGCGAGGCCGTGCAGCGTCATCTTGTCCGAGAATGCAAAGCCGGACCGCGGGCATGACACCGCGTCGATGGACGTGGACGACGCTAGCCGGAGCATCGCTTTCGAAGACTGGACGTCGAGGACGAGGAGCGACTCGATGCTGCACGAAACGTGCGAAAGACTCGAGCACACGTGCGACGAAAGAGAGCACTCGGTGATGGCCACTCGACCCCATGGGACGCCGCCACTGTCGAGCGTCGTGAGCGCCAGCGACGGAACGTGGCACTCGATTGCCCACTGTGCGTACTGCGTTGGGATCCACGTGCAGTGCGGCGACGACTGCGGCGACAGCGTCGCGTCTGATCCGCCTGTCCACTTGCCCAAGAGCACGTGCACGTGCCGGAACTCGTCCTGCGTCACTTCGATCGCCATCGCTGGCAGCGATGCTTTGAGCGTGTAGAAGTACATCTCCTCGGCGCTCGTGCAAAAGTGCGCGCCAAAGCCCGTGGGTTTCACGGCCGCCACGGGCATGCTTGGCCCCGACACGAAGCTGTGCGTACACTGGTGTGCCGACGGCTGCCACGCCGACCGCGTCGGGCTCGTAAGCGTGATGGAGGTGCTGGGACAGGCCCACATGTCGTGGCGAAGCGCATTCGACGACGAGTAGAGATGCATGCCGGCCCACGACACGGCCGATGTCAACGACGCGTCGGTCTCTGTCGTGCGCACGTGGAACGCATCGAGATGACAACCAAAGACAAACGGCTGCGGGTCAGCCATGGACAGCTCGACCGTAAGCGCCCGCACTGCCACGTCAATGAGCGGGAGCGGCGCCGCGGCGAGCGTCGTCGTCGTTGTCGTCGCAACTTCTTTCGTTGGGTACAGCGAGCTCCAGCGGTCCCACCACTGCCACATGGGCGAGATGAGCTCGTTCCACTTCCAGCACGACGCCTCCGAGACGACGAAGTGCATCGAGTGGGCCATGTGCCACGAGAGCGACATCTGCGCGCCCACGAGTCGGCTTTCGTACTCGGGGACGCGGCAGACCACATCGAGCCACGGTGCGTTGGACGTCCGGTCGACGTGCAAGAGACTTTGGACCGCCGTTGATGGGTCAAATTCTTGGAGCGAGATCGCGTGCATGGCTACTTGAACTTCGCTCTCGACGCAGCTCTGCCGCCAGAGCACCCGCGTGCCGTCGATGGCAAGGATCCAGTGCGTCCGCTCCGTCGAGTAGTCGTACTCGTCTACACATGCGTTCATACATCAACGTACTAGAGTCAACGTACCGTGCACGTTCTCGGAGCGGGGAAAGATCGAGAGGTGGACGGGCGGCGTGATTTCGACAGCAATAGTGAGGCTGGGCGGCGACACGGCGTCCTGAAAGTCGTCGTCGTCGTCGTCACTGTCACTACCATGACTTGTTTTCGGCGCAATCGGCTCGACGTCGGCCAACAGCCACTGCTTGGCGTACGTCAGCACCGCGACAAAGCCCTGGTTCTGCTGCGCCGATGCCGTGAGCTCTGTAAGCTTGTCGTAGTGGTCGTACGGCGCCTTGACTTCGTTGAGAACGGCGCAGAGCACGTCCACGTGAACGCTTTCGAGATGGAAGGTAAGCACGTCCGGTTGCACCGAGACACTGCGGCACGTCGAGCATGGCGTGACGGTGGAGCTCTGATGCAAAACGATGCCAAGCTCGACGTCGGGGATGGCTGCGCCGGCGCTTTGGTACGACAACGTCGCCTACGAACGTGTTGCGTGCAGAAAGTCTCGATGGAGCGACCGACGCATGTACCTTGACGTCGCTCGACCAGTTGTGGAAGACGTAGAACCGCGTGTCGTCTTCGATCAGACTGGTGGGATCCGTGTACAGCGCATACGGGACAACGTACGTCGAGATGTCTTGCACTTGGAGGCGCTAGACCGACATGAGCTCGGGATCCAATTAGATTACGAGTACCTTGCGCGACTCTTTGGCGCCGCCAGCAGGATCGATAAAGGACGGGACCCAGTTGCCGTCCGTGTTTTGCAGCAGGACGCGCTCGATGGCGCAGACGACGTAGCCGGGCGTCTATTCAGGCGTTAGCAGTCACGGACAAGCGGATAGCACACCTTTTCGACCGAGTCTTCTAAGCACTCGTAGCGCACTTCGATGTCTTCGAGCTCGATCTGGACGTTGCTGATGATGCAAGCGAGCAGTGTGGAGAGGTACGTCTTGTCCTGCTCTTCGCTCGCCGCGACTTGGGCTTCGGTCGCCGGCTCATTCGACGTCGACATGGCGTGCGCGTAGATGCGGATATTCTGCGCCTTGACGACGACGGGCTGGCTCCACAGCGAGCGCCACGGGATCTGCACCTGGAGCGCCCCGACCTTGCCGCGGCCGACGGCCAGACGCATCTGGAGGTCGGTGAAGGTGAGGTCGCCGTCCCAGATGCTGAGCTCCAGCTGCGCCGCGTCGAGGGACAGGAACTTGCCCAGGAGGCGCTGCAGCATGAGGGCGAGCGCGCGCTGGATCATGCTGGACGGTGTTGCAAACTGGAGGACACGTTAGGCTGCTTCTGATTTTTAGCCAATCGGAATCGTTTCTTTGAGGGGGCAGCCAATCCGAGGCGGTGCACCCATGAATTATTGCCGTCAGCACTCTGATGATGCATGAAGTTAAAATGCAACAGGTCTAGGCTATTCTCTGGCGCTTGACGGGGCCTTGACTCAAGAAGGCGTCGACGTCCCACTCGTCCTGGCGAATGTTGTAGGCGCCGTTGAGGATGACGAGGACGGTCGTGTCGCGGTGGTACTCGAGGCCCGTGATGAGCTTGGGCGTGATCAAAAAGTACTGCGGCAGCTTCCCGCCGCACGACGACCGCGTGATGCGCTTGAACACCTTGCGCTCGTTGTGGATGTCCATACCCTATCCCACATATATAGAGAGAGAGCCAAGGATCCCACGCGCACCTGGTTGATCTCGTCGACGACACGGAACGGGCACTTGGTCAAGCTCTGGAGCGCCATCAAGTACATGATGGTCCCGACCGATTTTTCCTAGAGACGCGTCATAACCACGGAGGAAGGAGGAGGTCGTACGCCGCCCGACTGCTCTTCGGCCGTCATGCGCGTGAGCTTGGCGTTCATGCGGAACTGCGCACGGCGCTCAATGCCCCACTTGGCCACGTCCTAGAATCGTTCTTGTCAAAGCTCGTCGTCGCTCGTGGAGCGTACGTCGTCGTCCATGTTGAGCAAGACCTCGCCGACGCAGCCAATCTCTTGAAAGTACTGCTGGAACGACGTGTTGATGTTGCCAACGACCTTGTCAAGCTCCTCGACCCATGGGTCCTATACAAATGGTGGTGCAGCGCCATGGTGCGAGGGTATTTGTACCTTTATGGCATTGATGCGCTCGGTGAGTGTCGCCGCATTGTGCGTGAGCTGCGCCAGCTGCGCTTCCTCGTGCACAATCTCAGCAACGACGCGCTCGTACACCTCGACGATGCGCATGTCGCCGCGGAAGTACTCTTGCGCCGCCTTGTTGTTGTCGATGCGCGCGCGGAGCTCCATGATATCGTGCGGAAACTCGTTGAAGATGGCCTCGAATTGGTCCCACGGCGCCGCCTCTTCGGCCTTGGCCTGAAGGCGGGCTGCGCGGGCACCGATGCTCTTGACCGCCTCTCGCGACTCGAGGTACTGCGCTTCGAGACGCCTACAAGCGATTACATTGGCTCAATGCGACAGATTGCAAAAGAGCATACTTGAGCTTGGCTGTCTCTTCTTTGATGATGCGAGTGACCACCGTGTGGCGCTGCTCGATCGTTTGGCTCTGGAGGGCGAGCTCGGCTTCGGACGTGGTCGCGTCGATCAACGCATGGGCGGCATCGAGGCTCGATTGCAGCACCTTGGCGTGCCTACAATCGCGACATGTGAGCACCAAATCGAAAGGTTCTCGAGTACTTTTGCGCAAGAAGCTGGAGCTTGCGCTCGTACGCTTGCACCTTGTCCGAGTAGTCCTATCCACATGTGAGCCAATGTGCAGCATACATACGGGCAGAGAGCGTACCTTGGCCAACTCGGCTTCGTACGACCGGACCTTATTCTTGCGGTGTTCGATCTCGTCGATAAGCTTGTTGCGCTCGCGGAGTTGCTCGCGCACGTCTTGCACCTTCTGCGTCACTGCGTGCTTGCGGGCAGAGTACTCGCGCTCCTGGCCATTGGCAGCTTCGAGCTACGAAGCGCGTGAGGTGCTGGTCGACAACCTATCCAAAGTCACCTTGGCTTGGGCTGCGCGAATTTGCTGGACGAGTTCGTCCTTCTTGGACTGGATCTGCTCCTTGAGCTCTTCGTTGGCGTTCGAGACGCCGAGGTAGCGACAATTGCGGAGGTCGTTCGTGCGCGTCGTGGTCGAACGCTCGCCGTATTTCGACACTGCCCTCAGGGGTCCATGAGACGTCGACAACGTCGAGCAAAGACCGTACCTGCAGAAACGTACTTTTTGGTCGGCGTGCAGAACGCCGCCTTGTGGAACATTCGCGTAAGGGGCGTGAAAATGTCAGTGCCCTTGTTGATGATGTTCTCCGTTTCTTGGGTCGCGAGCACGACGGTGTGGATACCGCCAAACGTGCGGAGGGCCTCGTGCACCACCTCTGGCGCCTTGATCACCTAGCGTACCATTCACAATCTCCATCGACAAACAGACGAGCGAAGGCAAGTACCTCGTCGAGGTAGCAGCTCATGCCATACTGCGTCTGCAGCTCGTGCAACTGGGCAGGCGTATAGGGTCGGCTGAAGACCTTGCCTTTGCCGTCTTCCACGTTGGTGATCGAGATGCCGAGGCGGTTGGACCCTTCGTTGAGCTCGCGGATCAAGGTGTTGTAGTCCTCGTTGCACTCGGTCACAAACGACGTTAGCTGCCACTTCTGCAGCGTGTCCTCGAGGCACTTGGCGTGGAACTGATCTTTGACTTGGATCTGCACGTTACATCGCAAAATGCTTTTACGTGTCACTCGCACCTCGAGGGCCAAGGGGCCCCAGACCTTGCGCCGAAATTTATCCTGGTTCTTCTGCAGCCATTCATACGCACGCATGCAGCTCTGGTCCTCCTTTCTCAGGGCGTTCTTGCGCTGCTCTTGCTCGTTGTTGAGCTTGCCGAGTTGTCCATCAAGGCGGCGAATCTCATGCTCGAGTTGCGAATACTACATCAAGAAGCACTTGGGTCCATGCACACGGCAAGCGGCGCCGTACCTCGCGGGCAACAGAGTCTCGTTGCAGCTTCATATCGGAAATCTAGCAGTCGACGATATTATGAGCTTGTCATGACACCATCTTGCAGCGCACCTCTTGCTCGAGGTTAAAGTACTCTTGGTCCAAGGCCGACTTGCTGCTGCGCAAATCGCCTTCGTCGGGCAACGCTGCGAGTTTCTCTTCGCTCTACGCACCACCAACATGTAAACCCACGGGACGAGCGTATGAAAAGCGTACCGAACGCAGCTCCACGAGCATGCGCTCGAGTCGATCTTGCATTTTGGCGTGTCGACCGTGCACTTCGCGCAGATCCATCTTGATCTGCCCTTCTTCGCCCTCCATGACGTCCATCTACACGACGTTGTTGATCGTGGTACATTACAAGAGGCGGTCGGACCTGGCGCTTGAGGTTGTCGAACGATTTTTCTTGCGTCTGCTTCCGCTCGGAAGCGGCCTTTTTGCTATAGCAGCGCTGTTGGCGTCAAGAAGGGGAAAGGGATATGTACTCGTTGCGCGCCGTGAGCCCAGCCTGTGTTTGCTCCTTGAGCAGTCGCTCGAGGGGTGTCAACTGCTGCGCTTTGGCCTCCTGTGATAGAATGGGTTAGCAAGCGTTATCCCGACGAAGACACAGATGGAACCTTGAGAGCGCGCTTGAGCGCCTGGGACCGGTTCAGTTGCTCCTGGACCTGGGCCTTGCACTCTTCGAACTCGAGCCACAGAAGTTTCTTCTCCATGTTGCGCGTCTCGGAAAGGCGCAATTCGTGCTCCCGAATGCGTTCGACTTCGGTCTTGCGCTGGGCGTTTTCCGTCTTCTTCAACTCCAAGCTGGCGCGGGCAGCTTCCAAGTCGCGAGCGCTGGAGCTGCTCTCACGCTGGATCGCGATGACGGCCTCTTGCTGCTCGGCGAGCTCGCCGTCGCCGATCGCCGCTTGCGTCGCCTTGAGCAGCTGGACAGGCGTCATGCGCGAAAACTCGCCGACCTGTCGCGAGGACATCAATGTTTGCGCCCGTATAACTCAAGATGTACCTTGTCTTGGGGCAAGAACTGGCACAAGTTGTCGATTTGGATGGCAGACTCTTGCAGAACGGACTTGACTTTGTTCTGGCCCACGTCCCGGCCGTTGAGCTTCCACGTCGACCGGTTGTCGCGGTAGATCGTGCGGCGAATGGTTACGTTGCCCGTCGAGAAGAAGAGCTCGACCTCCGTGAAGCCAGAATCTTGCTCGTGCTTGACGAACTGGCCGACCTTCTCGGCTCGTCCGAGGATCTTCGTGGACCCGCCGAGGCCGACGCAGAGCGCGCAGACGATGGACGACTTGCCTGTCCCGTTGGGGCCGAGGACGACGTTCAGGCGCGGACCCGGGTACAGCTCCGCGTCCGTGTACGTGAGGAAGTTGTGCAGCCGGACGCGGAAGATGGAGCCCTCCATGTACTCATCGCTCGGGCTCATGGCGGCAATTTCGATCGGTTTTGAGACTGCCCAATATGGACCAAGCGTATCCGGATATTCTTGTTGGCAAGGCAAAACCATTTGGTTTTTGTATTTGAATCTGTGGTCCGGATATGCTTTTGGTGGGAAACTCGTGTATGCGGAACAATCCGGATGCGATTAAATATGGCATATGCCACGTGAAGGGCTTGGCCAGTACTTCACGGCGGCTAAATGTGTCGCTGCGTTCCCACGCCTTGCCACGCTCAGTCTCACATCCATCTCCATAGTTAATGGTTCGCGACAGTGCTAAGAAGAGCGGAGGGAAGCGCATGGTTTCGACCGAGGTTGCCACCTTTCAAACCGGCGGATTGGTTGGTGTGGCATATGCCGAATTGAATTGGTTTGGCAGGCATTTGAAATTCAAACGGTGTAGGACGGGGTGACCAACATGGATCGCAAGGCCCTGCTCGAGACGAAGCTGCACGAGCTGGACGAGCAGGTCGAGGAGCGATGTCGGAAGATGCAGAAGCTTGTGGATACGCATGTCGCCGCCATGAAGACCGAGTTTGCCCGCGACCTCATGACGCTTCCCGAGAACATCCTCAACATGCCCCTCGACGAGTTCATGCAGAAATACAATGGCAACCTAGATGCAGCCGGTCCCACGTCGGAGCGCCGATCGAGCCTCCGCATCCGCAACATGTCGATCTCCAAGTACAGCACACCGTCCAAGCCCGTCGAAATCGAGACGCCAAGCCGACGACGAAGCCTCCGGACGCCATCGACTGTCCGCCGGCGTCAAGAGGGCGAGATCACGTACTCGGCACGCGGGTCGCCCATTGACCCAGACGACATGGGCATCAAGGGCAAGCCAAAGCTTTTTGTCATGCTCGATGAGAAGGACATGACGCATATGAACCTGCGCCTCGTCGACGACAAGACCAACACGGAGACCGAGGTCGACTTCTCCAGCGCCGACGCTCTCGACAAGCTGCGCAAAGAAGGGAAGGAAGACCTTGCGATTCTGCACGTCAAACAGTACAAGCAGCGTATGCAAGCGTACTGCGACGAAATCATGGCCAAGCTCGCTGAAGGCGCGTCATAACCCGTGTCCTCGTCGTTGCGTCAATGCATTGTTCTATGTGTCTTTAGTCGTCAGCTTTTACGCGCTTCCGCGGCGGGTCCTCGCTGGTTGCTTGCTCAAAGACCTGTCGGACGTTGATGTTGAGTCGGTTCGTGCGTACATACGCGGCGATCGACCGGTACAGTGCATCACTGTTGGGGAGCTCCCGAGGGAACGCGGGTAGGTTGGTCGTCGGCAGTGTCTTCGCAATGCCTAGGTCGCGTCTTTCTCAGCACACAAGTGTCACCGGTGAGAACGTACCATGGAAGCAGAGGCGGGAAGTGCCGCCCATAACAACAACATCGCCGCTGCGAAGTAAGATCTCGATCGGCGCCTCATCTTTGGTCAATCCACCTGGTGAACGCATGAGCTTTCGATAGCGCGATGCCGTATCCGCTTGCCTTTGAGGAAGATGGCGCTCGACCCGATCGAGAACGACACAACCGGGTACGCAAACGTGACTTCCACATTGTCCTGGTGCCCGCCCATCGTCGACGACGCCTTGTAGTAGTTGACGAGCGCTGCCTCCGAAGTGATGTCGAGGCCCACCGCCTTTGCACAGGCGACGCCAATGCTCTGCAATAGCGCTGGGACCTCCGACCCTGGCGTATCCGGGTACGCGCGATTGGTCCAATCATAATGGTACCCAAGGGCGGCCCAGTGCAGCTTGTCCATCGGGTCGGGCTGCCCGGGCGCCCGCGACGTCGACTTGGCCCAGATCCCTTCAACCTACAAGAGCACGTACAAGCTCCCGTCAGTCATGCCTGTAGAAGACGCACGTTTTGTCCCAGTGGATGCAAGTTGGTCGTGTGCGGCGCCTCGGCATACTCGGTCAAGCACATCTCAGCAAGCAAGCGTTGCGTCGCTGCATCCAGCGCGCCTGGGAGGATAAAGAATCCTGCGTGTACATCGCTATCGTTGTTTGCGACAGCGCCTGGCTTCCGAAGCGCATAAATCGGGCAGGTAGCGCCAGCGGAGATCGCGCAGCTGCCCACCTGGTCGACCCATGCGGCCTGGGCAAGCGTGAGCGCTTGGACGTCGACGAGGTCGGCGGCCTCCGCGATGCGAGCCCCGTCGGCGCCGTAGAGGTCCTCGGCCGTAGCGAGCTTCGTGCGCTTCCACTTCTTCTCGACCGTCTTGTACGCGTTCATATCGAGTGTCGCGTGGATGGGCCCGCGCAAAATGTATGTGCAAGGAATTGCCAGATCAAGTAATGTGCCGACCGTTGCTAAAACATACTTTGTCCCAAAACGCACCCAATACGAGATGAGGCAAAACGTTTTGCCCGATGCACACTTTTGCTCGCCACCGTGTTATCATGGAGGGTCCGGCTCGTCTCTACAGGCGACGATGCTCGATCATGTGTACTTCAATCATCATGGGTCCTTGCTCATTCTCTTGCGACGACTCCAGCGCTGCCAAATCAGATTGCGCGGTATGATCACGGAACGCTAGTCCAGCGCTGAGCGCTGAGTGGACGGTGCTGGTTCGCACGACGTGCGTCAGTGACGTGCGTTCTTTGCTATGGATGACGCATGCAATGGGTCCTTATGCATCAAGTCATTGACACTGCCGACTCTGCGCGGGGAACCTTCTCGCGTATTCGGCGCCTTCGGGACAAAGTCCGTTTTAAGCGCGCGAGGAGCGAATTACACGTGGGTTTTTGGGACAAAGACTGGTTGCTTTGTGTCGCAGATGTATGCTTGCAGTTCCGAAGCGTATCCGGACTATCACGGTGTCTATCCGGAGAGCGGATCGCCATTCTCACGCGGCACAGTGCCAGTCGCGAATAAGAAAGATACACACGACGTCGACCGCGGTCCAGACCCCGACGACCACGACGACCATCATGACGGCGTCCCAACACATGCTTCCGCAGGCGCCACAGCGCATGGAGACGTACGGCACGATCAACGCAGGCCCGAGGAAACCTCAGCCCTTGCGTCCGCTGCAAAAGCCGCCCAAGACGCCGAGCCCGCCGCCGCCCGCAAGCATTTACCGGTCGCCGATCCCTCGCCGACCGCTCGTGCGCAAGAAGAGCAGCGTCGAGTTTTCCGTGTGCGTCGAGATCAACGACGCCGAGTCATCGCGCCGAGGCGAGTGCCGGCGTCTCTCGCTGGTCGAAAAGGAAGAGCTGTACAAGGTGCGACCGGACCTTGCGATTGAACCGCCGCGCTCGATCCAGGAGCTCGACAAGGACCGCCTCGAGAACCAGCGTCGGTTTGTCATATCGATGTTTGTGTCGTTTGCGTGCATGCTGCTGCTCATGATGTTTTACGCGGTCATTGCGATGAAGAAGCCGCCGGCACCGTGAGCTGTCCGTCCTCTATCTATGAATTTTCGATATCTAATACACATGCCCGATTTGTAATCGCGACCGCTGGCGCGAGGGCCCGAGTAGCCGTCAGGGATGCGCTGAATCTCGCTGAAGGCTCGGGTCGAGTTACAAACAGACGCAGGCAACTTCAAGCCTGACACCATCACCAACCATCTCGCCGGACGCGGGACGCCGATGGGCAGGAAGCATCTGCGCCGGCTTCCACCCTGCCGAACACCGGCACGTGAGTGGCTGCGATGCTGGCAGATTCTCGCGCATCTCCCTGGTGGCTGCGAATCTTCATCCTAGCCGGGCCTTCGTCGCCTCCTCTGCGGAGCCCAAGACAGCTCCCAAGTCAGTAGCACATCATGGGATTGTGCCTGTGGGATCTACGTTTTAGACGTTTTGATAAAAAACCTCCCACATCCAATACCATCGACAGCTTGTTTTCGGCATGTAGCCAGATGAGTCATTTTGTATTGCGATTTTGTATTGCATTTTTGAACGAGGATGCCGTACAACGCGCGAAACCTTGTTTCAGGTGGAATGTCCTTGTTTAGTAGAACGAGTACGTTTAACGCTTTAATAGTCGATGTTTAGTAGGTTAAAGTCCCAACCAGAAGTCCCGAAGCAACTACCGCGCGGGTCCTTCAGGCCGACTCACACACGAATATGACATTACGATAACCAGATTCTGTCGTCCTCATCACGAGCGATAGGCTTGAATGCACCCATAGAAGCAGCGAATTATGCTGCTCATACCAGCCCAAGGCTCACCCCGCGACCGTCGCGCTCGTCACCGGTTCATAGCACGACGTTGCCCTTGGTGACGCAGACCGCAGCGCTATCTCCATAGTTCTATCAACGTCTCTGGTGACGACCACAACGACACAAGCGCGGGAAAGAGTGTTGCTCGCTCTGCGCGCCTTTGCCAATGAAATAGTGTATGCCAATCGACGGAAATAGACTGGAACGCCGTTGCACGCCGGAAGCCATGGTGGGATCGCAAGACGCAGGGCTGCTCCGGGTCGAGGTCATCGACGTCTCCTACTACCTCGCCAAGCCGCTGCCTCCGAGAGCGGCGCATGCGCTGCCCGAAGGTCCTTGCTACGAGCGCGCGCGGGTCGTGCCCGTCGTCCGCGTCTTTGGCGCGACGCCAGAGGGTCCCAAGTGCTGTCTGCACGTTCACGGGGTGCGTACCATGGTAATGACCGGCGCTCATCCAGCCGCATGCAGGTGTTCCCGTACTTTTACATGCGCTGCGAGAAGGACCCAGCGTTCGACGATATCGAGAGCCTCATGGCGCTGCTGCCGACGATCGGCCGGGACATCGAAGCCGGTCTCCGGACGCTCGCGACAGCGCAAGAAAGCGGTGCGCCCAAGACAAAGGCGAAAGGTCCCATTCCGCCGTCCATCGCCAAGGTCGATTCTCGCCTCGCTACATTGACTCACACATGCATAGCTTGTGATCGTCAAGGGCATTCCGTTCTACGGGTACCATGCAGCCGAGGAGTTCTTCGTCAAGGTTTTCTACTACGACCCGGCCAAAACGAGTCGGATAGTTCAAGTCGTCGAGAGCGGTCTTGTCGCGAGCCGTGTCTTTCAGCCGTACGAAGCCCACATCCCGTACTTGCTCCAGGCAAACTCTCTCACTCGACGCGCCAAGCCGACCGATCCATGGCTAGATGTTTGCCGACTACCATATCGAAGGCATGAACTACCTCCGCGTGCGCAATGCAACCGTACGGCGCACTGCCCCCCTTCTGGGACGTGGACACTAACCATCGTCTGTAGTTTCGGACGCGGGAAGGACCCACGATGGACTGGCCGATCCGCCAAAGCAGCTGCGCGCTCGAAGCCGACGTATCGTGCAAGAACATTTTGAACCCTCACTATATCAACGGCGCGGCCGACGCGTGCTACGTCCCGTCGCTCTCGACGCTCTGGGAGGTCTCGTATTGCCCATTCTTAGCGTTAGTTGTATGGCGCTTGTAGGAAGAGAAGCAGCGCCGGCGGGACCAAGGCCTGGCCGCGACCCCCGAGACGGCGCCAAGTATTCCGCGCCACGAGCAGCATCAGAGGGCGTCGCCCGACGGGACGGAGATGCCAGGCCCATTGTCCCAGTCGCATTTTACCCGGCGCATGTGGGCCTCATTAAACGAGATCCTCGCGCAGACAACGTCGGCGCTCGACACCTCGGTACCCCTCCGTTCGTTGCCCTTAATTCTTACACTTGGAAAGATCCGGAGTGAGAGCGAGGGCGACTTCTCGGGGGGCCTCGACGACTCGACGTTTGCGTACAGCCAAATGGAAGAGAGAGACGAAGACAATCCTGTCGTGGACAAGGCGTCGGACGAGCTGCTTTTGCTGCTCTCGCGTCTCCAAGAAGCCCGGAAGAACGAGTGCGACGAAATCGACGGCGGCGACGTTAGCGCTGACGACGGCGACGCGACCGATGACGAAATGTCGGAAGAAGCGCTCCACGCGCGGGCCATCTTGGACTCGCAGAGAGCGTACGAGCGCGCTTTCTCCCAAGAAGAGCCTCTCGACGCACCGGAGGACAACATGGTCGACGAGACAGAGTCATCAACTGCGTGGTGGGAGCGCGACCAGTCCATTTGCGAATCGCAGTGCTCGATCCACGAGCTCGGCGCGCCCCGGGTGACGCAGTCGCCGGTGCAGACGACAGTTCCCTGTCCCATCTCACCTCACGTTGCTGTAGGAACAATCCCAAGTGGATGTCAGTATGGACGTCGAGGCGACGCAGCCTATGCCGAGCCAGCGGCTGATTCGCCACACGTGGCAGTACGCAGTGCCCCCGCCGTCGCTTCACGACCTCCTTCCCCTCCCACCCTCGGTAACGTGACGTCGATGCCATAGGTCTCATGGTGACAATCTTAGACGACGCCGAGCGTGCACTACAGCGTCGCGTCCGACGTACCGGAGAAGCCGGTGGTCTTTGCGGGCCAGCGCTGCGCCTTTCCGAAGCCTGGTATTGACCACTTGCCGCCCTTTCCGAGCGTTAGCACTCCAACGCTCCAGTCGCTTCAAAAGGAGAGCTCGTCTTTGCATGTACCCCTCTCTCCATCCAAGCAAAATGCTTGATGCTGCGCGAGTAGCAGCGTGTGCGACGACGACGTACACCCCTTCGACTCCCCCCGACGTTGGCTGAGCTGCAAGCGAGTACCCAAGGCGCATCCCCACATGTACGCTGGATATTACCTCCTTTTGCACGTGCACCAATGATATGTAGTCGTCGACGCAGACCTTGTCGGGGACGACGCAGCCTGCCGTGCCCCGACCGTCCCACTTGCATATTTCCAACATCACCGTGTTGTCCCTGGAGGTACATGCGAATACGCGCGGCGACCTGCTGCCGGACCCAGCCTTTGATGCGGTCGAAGCGGTGGCGGCTGTCGTCGATGTGACGTTCCAGGAGGTGCAAACGCGGCGCTACCACCTCTTGGTCGTCGACGCGGCGGCGTCGACGACGATGCACCTGTCGCTGCACGGACACGTATACGAGGTCGAGTACGTTGCGTCCGAAGCCGCGCTCATCGAACGACTCGTGGCGTGCGTCCAGCAGTGGGACCCCGACTTTCTCGTGGGGTTTGAGATCCAGCAGGCTTCGTACGGGTACCTCATTGACCGCGCGGCCGCTCTCGATCCGCCGGTACGACCCGCTCCCGCTCTCTCTTCCAGCCTTTACGTTAGATCAACTTGATTCAAGTGCTCTCGCGGCTCCCGCGGACGCGAATGGACGCGCGCAACCAAGCAGCTGCAGGTGCCATGCGCTCATCTTAGTCTTGGCTTATTTGGGAGCGCAGATGGCAACATTGGCGTCATGTACGGAATGAAAAAAGCGTCGGGCATTTGGATGTACGGCCGGCACATTCTCAATCTCTGGCGCTGCGCCCGGTCCGAGGTGGAGCTTGCGTATACGTATACCTGCACTGATGCGTCGTACTAGCTCAAGCTCGCGCGCTACACGTTCGAAGCCGTGGTCGCGAGCGTGCTCAAACGGCCTTTTCCAAAACACTCGCACGCGACGCTGACGCAATGGTTTACGGCGGGCGGGTCGCTCCGCCTCCGCGCGCTTGAGGCGCTTGCTGCCCATACAGAAGTGACGCTCAAGCTCATGGATCGTCTCCAGCTCATCACGCGCACGAGGTATCTTCTCGTCGTCTGGCGACACATCGTCCAGCACGGTCTATGCTGGCGTAGTGAGATGGCGCGGCTCTTTGGCATTGATTTCTTCTCGGTGCTCTCCCGAGGCTCGCAGTACCGCGTCGAGGCCGTCAACATTCGCGTCACGAAGCGACTCAAGTACATCATGGTGTCGGCCAACCGCGCCCAAGGTCCAAGCGTCGTTCGCACTGGGATTCTCATCGTATCCTAGTCGCGGCGCAGCCCCCGATGGAAGTGATTCCGCTCGTCATGGAGCCGCTTTCGTCGTTTTACGCCGAGCCCATTGTCGTGCTAGACTTTCAGGTACAACATGGAATTATAGGTGGTGGTCTATACGCGCCATGGCTAGTCGCTCTATCCGTCGATGGTGATTGCGTACAACATTTGCTACTCGACGTGCTTTGGGCGCCTCGGCAACGGCCTCGACCCGTCGCTCGAGAGTGTCCTTGGCGTTGTCGCCGACCATCACGTCGACGTCGACGCGCTCCGGGCCGCGGGCAACGGCACGATCATTACGCCCAACGGCGCGCTCTTTTGTCCCAAGTCGATGCGCTCCGGGGTGCTGCCGCTCGTGCTCAGCGAGATTCTCTCGACGCGCATCATGATCAAGCAAGCCATGAAACAGGTAGACGCCGAGCGAGTCGAGTTTGTCACATTCCATTAGACAAGCGACAAGCGACTGCTCAAGGTGCTCGACGCGCGCCAACTCGCGCTCAAGATGATTGCCAACGTCACGTACGGCTACACGGCCGCGAGCTTCTCGGGGCGCATGCCGTGTGCTCAGATCGCCGACGCCATCGTGCACGTACGTACAGTTTGCGTTTGACTCGACCCGATGTGCTGGTAGTCGGGCCGCGTGACGCTGGAAGCCGCCGTGCGCCTGGTCGAGGCACACCCGACGTGGCACGCCAAGGTCGTTTATGGCGACACGGACAGTCTCTTTGTGCAGCTGCGCGGCCGGTCGCTCGCAGACGCCTGGGCAATCGGCCAAGAAATCGCCAACGACGTGACAGCGATCAACCCGAAACCTGTGTGCCTCAAGCTCGAAAAAGTGTATATGGGCTCGTTCCTTGTCTCCAAGAAGCGCTACGTCGGCTACAAGTTTGAGGGTCCGACTCAGGCCAAAGGCGTCCTCGACGCCAAAGGCATTGAGACCATCCGGCGTGATTCGTGCGGCGTGGTGCAGAAGCCCATGCGTCGCTGGCTCGAGCTCCTCTTCCAAACGCGGGATGTTTCCGCTGGGAAAAAGTACCTCCAAACGTACTGGCGCCACATGCACAGCCAGCGCATTCCGCTCCGGGATTTCATTTTCGCAAAAGAAGTCCGCCTCGGCACCTACGCAGGGTACGCTCGATAGCTTCCTATGGCGCGATAGCTCCTGACGCACAAGTAGGCAAGGACCGCCAGCGGTGCTGGTCGCGACAAAAGCGATGGCCAAGGACCCGCGCGCCGAACCGCGGTATGCCGAGCGTGTCGCGTACGTTGTCGTGCGTGGGCCACCGGGCGCACGGCTCATGGACCTCGTTGTGCCGCCCGAGTCGCTCGTGCAGCACCAAAAGTACACGCTCAACATTGAGTACTACATCACCAAGCAGGTAGACTCACTTTGTTCAAGGAGGACAAAGTAGCATGAGAATTGATAGATCTTGCCGAGCTTTGAGCGCCTCGCGCTGCTTATGGGCGTCAACGTCCGTCAGTGGTACATGGAGCTTCCCCGGGCCGTTGAGAAGGCGACGACCCACCGCGGCGCGTCCTCGGTCATGCGCATCGATGCGTACTATACGAGCCAGCACTGCGTGCTCTGCGGCGTACTGAACCTCCATCCGCGCGGCCTCAATTCGGGCGCCTGGCTCTGCCGCGACTGCAAGGCGTCGGCAGGCGCGAGCTACTTTTTGCTTGAGAGCGAAACGAGCAGTCTCGAGCGACAGCTGAGTGCCGTGCGCCGCGTGTGCCTCCAGTGTCTGGGGGGCACGACGTTTGGGGCAACGTGGCATGACCGCACTCGGATGGTATGTCATAATGACGACTGCGATGTGTGGAGTGTATGGCTGCGCGCTGTGACCCTGTATGAAAAGTGCAGCGCGTACCCCGCGTTGGTCGAGAATCCAAGATAGAAGAAATTTGCTGTATATTACGTACACAAACAACGAAGCTAGTATTTAGGGTCGGCTACATGGGTGGATTCGAGGCAGCCCTGTCACTCGGAAAGACCGAAGGAACAGCAGCCAAGCACAGACGTCTTGGCCCTGTCAGCGCTGCCAGAGACGACACGGCGCGCCTACGTCGCCTTGTAGACGGGCGCCGTGTAGACCGGACCCTTCTTGTAGTGGCCGTTGTACTGCGGCTCGGGCTCGCTCCACGGTTCGGGCGTCGCGAGCTTGTTGGAAAGGCAGATCCCCGACAACGAGGCAAGCGCCGTGTTGAGCTTCAGGTAGATGTCATCGTTCGTCGTGCACGGCACCGGCAGCTTGCTGGCATCAAGCACAGTGTCGTCCTCGAAGGCTTGGGCAGCGTAGGAGCGTTCGTCGGCCAAGTGGCGAGCGTAGACGAGCGTGAGGGCGTCGTCCTCGACGTCTGTGTCTGTGTTCCACGTGGGGTAGATCTTCCCGAGGAAGCTGACGATCTCGGCTTCGGCGAGGCAAATGTAGTTGCGGCGGGCGAGCGCGTCCACGTAGTCCGTCACCGCTCCGCACTGCGCAATGTCGTCGGGCGAGAGGTACCCGTCGTCGATGCAGTCGTTGATTTCGTCCGACTTGGCCTTGAGCAAAGGCGTCACATGATCCTGGTTCCACTCCTCGTCTCCCTGGAACGACGGGTAGCACTTGCTGGCGTCGCCGTCGTGGTTGGCCACGCACGCGTAGAAGCCGCAGTAGTACATGATGCCAAAGCCTTCAAGGATCGGCTGCTCGTGGACACCGGCGCTGCGGACCGCGATCTCGGCAATCGTGAGCGGGCGGCGAAGCGACGTGGTGACCTTCTCGACGTAGTGCACCGAGTCGTAGAGGCTGCGGAGCGACTGGTCGGACGTGTAGTCGTCGTTTTGGCAG